GAATACCGGTATGAAGAAGCTCTGCTTCCGCGTTTCGTCTGGTGAGTGCAGGTGGCCGGAGGCCCATATCCCCCCCCCCATCAATATGGTAGCGGAATTACTCTTTCTAAAGGGCCGGCAACGCATCTGCAATTCCCCTGGTTTCGCGGTTGATCATGGGCGGCGGTAGTAACTTAACATCAGGTGAACCACATGCTCGGTTGTCCCCTTTTCTTTAAAAAAAGTGCTAAGGTTAGTAACAGCTGACCCGATGATAAGCACTCGTTGAATTGCAAATCAGCTGGGTATAAAGAAAATGAGAGTGTGGCGCGTACTGAAACAGGAAGGAGTTCACCCTTACCATTTTCGACGTGGTCAAAATTTACGAGAACAAGACAGTACACCAAGGTCAGTTTTTGTACGTGGATTTTACGACAGCACAGACTAAATTATAATTTCTTAATGGAAATTTTATGGACGGATGAGAACTGATGAGGCCACATTTACCAGAGCCGGAATAACCAACCACCGTAATCTGCACGTTTGGAATGATAAAAATCCTTTTACTGTCAAAGAAACTTATTTCCAGCACGAATTCTCCATTAACATGTGGTCTGGAATAATTAATGTCCAAATTATTGGGCCATTCGAATTGCCAAGACGGCTTACGCAAGAGGACATGTTGAGTTTTTTATTGCGCGAAGACCTGCCCCTTTTGCTACAAGACATCTCATCGTTAACAAGACGAAATATGTACCTCCAACTAGATGGAGCCCCTGCTCATTATGCAGCGTCAGTGCGTCAATTCATTAATCGAAAGTATCCAAGTTGGATTGACAGAAGCGATCCAGTAGCATGGCCTCCAAAGTCTCCTGATTCAACGCGTCTTGATTATTATTTTTGGGGCTACATGGAACAAAAGTGAATGCTGTGCCAATAGCTGCGAGAGAACAACTGGAGCAGAGAATTGATGCTGCTGCTACAGAAATAAGAGCGAACTTTTCGGAACAGCAAAGAACGACTCAAAGAATGTCATTTAGAGCCTTAGCTGCCTGTATTATGGCCAATGGCGGTCATTTCGAAAACGTTATAAATTAATTACTGTCTTTTTTTAATTAATTATTTAAATATACATTTGTTTTTATTGTTTACTTACATAAAAATTATTCTATCGAAAGGCAAAAGGAATTTTTGATATTAAGACACTTAAATGTGCCACTACCCCGGTTTTAAAGGTCTACTCTATTTATAATTGAAAATGGGGTGCATATTTCAACAGTTTGTACTTCGATAAATATTTGAAATAGCTAGAAACATTGTTATGATATTTTGTAAATAATATTACATAATTTAATAATAATCAATAAAATAATAATATTCATTGGACACTTATTCAACTTTATCGCGAAATTGAATAAACTGGGTAATTTTTTCTTAAAACTTTGAGGTAATTAATTTTTTTAATGTCTTGTTTAATTTTGGGTACATTCTATACCTCGTATTGATAAATTGTGATGGCAACTGGTAAAGAAGAAAAAACAAAATGAAAAACAAATGTAAAAACGAAAAGCATATCTTGAAAATAGTGCAGTAAGTCAGGTTTCTCTATGAAAAAAATAAAAAACCTAATAAAAAAACCAAACCGATAAGACCTTTACTTTGATGGTATTTGTTGATAGCTTTGTCCAAATAATCGAAAGACGTCCGGCGGTCAATTCGCGGTGGGGCACCTTGTATAATTCTTTTTTAATTACTCGAACATTGGCCAAACTCCACGGTTCGTAACCAATAATAACAATTCCAATTTGTATTAAAATAAATCCATAAGAACGATAGAAAATTAAATTACATTCGCAAAACTTTCGCAAAACATTCAAATTCCTCTCTATACATTGCAGATATTCAATACCAATGTAATAAATAAACAATGTCGACCGGATCTACATTTAACCAATTGAAAATTAATTTGGTATCATATAATTTTGAAAGTTGTATTTTTTGTTCACAATTTTACGATGCTAACAGATGAACGACGTTGTCAGTACCGGTAACCGAATTCGGGCCACGAAGTACGTGTTGGGCGCGGTTTAATAAACTTTATTTTATTATAGTTATTCTTGAAGTGGGAACTTATTTAGGCACATTGGGCACTGTTGGGATGGGAATAAGCATTGAACTCACGTGACCGTAAAGCTCAGATACATATTAAATTACTTCCAAAAAAAATATTTTCTAACGATTCAAAAGTGATACCAACATACGGCCTCCAATTGTGAATTTAAACCATCCAAGTTTAACGAGACAACGGACGGCAATTGATTTTTATATACAATGTTATTTTTCAAAGAGTAGCCAAATCTTAAACTTAAGTTTAAGTATTGCACTTTTTTAAAATATGAGTAAATAAGGCTTTTGCTTTTATTTGAAATTATCCCAAATTGAATGTGCTTTATGGGCAACACAGTTTTTGCCTACCGATCGAACCTTACGAATATGTGCGTGCGCAGTAAAATCAGTTAAAATAATGCATTACCACACGTTTTGAATTAAAAAGATAAGAAAGACAGAATGTTTGAGATTTTTCTTAATTAATTTTTCTTCACCATTTGCCTATATTATTTTTATTCTGAACCTTCTCTGCAGATTCTCCGGTTATTGCAAAATAACCGTGTATTTGTGATTATTATGTGTTGCTGCATTAGTAATAATGTGTATATAATGTATTTATATAGTGAAATTGTGTTTCTATCTTTTTTTTTTCTTATTGGAGGTAGACATTACGATTAAAATATAGGCAATTACCCCAGTTTGGTGCGAGAGATTGTCGAGCAAATTATTTAATAACGACATTGTTCATAAAATGTTATAAAGATATTTCGATAAATCGCCTAAGATGGTATGAACATATTAAAAGACGCAGCGAAGATCATGCAGTTCAAATAGTTCTAAGCTTGCCAGAAACAAAGAGAAGCAGAGGACGCCCGCCAATGACATGGTGGTCTAATTTCGTAAGAGACCTAAGGAAAGCCCAGTTGCCGGATGTGACAACCCAAGACCGTTTGTCTTGGCGCAGACAAGTGAGGAGACCCGACCCCAAATAACGGGATCAGGGATGGAAGAAGAACAAATTGAAACAAACGTTACATATTCTGCGAGAGACCCGCAATAGAATTATAGTATATACTTTAAAATTTAAGACCCGAAAACTAAAATTACATACTGAATGAGTATTGGATATTCTTAAACCGCCAATATTAGTTATTTTTTAATAATATTTATACCGGGTTCTTTTCTTGTGTTAAGACAGACTATCGTCATCATCATCAATATTACAGCTCTTCACAAGTCTACTGCTGAACATAGGTCTCCTCCAAAGAATGCCACAATGCACGGTCCTGAGCCACCTGCATTCTAGTTATCTCTAAATACTAGATAGACTAATTCTGAAATAAATATTTGTTGGAAATTGGCACACAATAAAGGATACTTAAAGTAAAATTCGCTTGCTCTATGGCCTCCCAACTTATAATGGTTACACAAGCTTAATTCGAGGCCATCGGGACGTTTTGATAGTGGCTTATTCTGAGGTAGTGGTAAACGTTATTGTATAAGACGTGAGAAAGTTAACGCGCCTAGATAATATGCCGCTGGTCTCGTATCCCTGTTGGAGCCAATACTTTTGAAGAAAGAAATTTGTTGGTATTGAAGTGTTATTTTTTATTTGATATATTTAATAAAAACCCTTACACTAGGATTTTCTCCTGTTTCGTGGAGGCTACATTCACAATTTTCTTCAATAGAATAAGGCTGACATGCGAGCACACATTCCACATGATTATAAGTGATTGTTGTGGCCCATAGACATCTACATTTATCCTCGATTAAGAATCAAAATGCAAATGCGTGGACACCCCTGAGGACTAAGATGGAATGCCTCGTTTCCAGTAAAAAGGGCCTCCGGTTCTCTACACTCATCATACGAAACACAGCAGTATTAAAATGCTATTTTACGCTTGTATTCTGTGAGAGCGTGGGTCTACCTCGGTCGTGCTATTCGTGTTAAAGCAATAATATAGCTACAGCGTGGATATATACTACGTAAAAAAATCCACAAGGACAAACACCTAGACTCGGAACAATTACTTGCAAGTCATACAAATACTTGTTCCCTGCGGGATTCGAACCCGCGGCCCCAGCGTTGCGCAGCTCTTGCGCCACGGAGCTGTCAATGTAATTCTATCGTTTTTGTCTGCGTTTTTGATACTGCTAGCCTACCATCGGCCATCAGACACCTTCGTTGAGTCCTTCCAATTGGATGATGGTACCTTTCTAGAAACCTGGCTTCTGAGGTGGCAGGTGCTAGTGGTGGGTGGCTCCAAACGCCAAGTAAAGTAACTAGGTAGGTCGATGACGAAAGTGGTCTAAGAGATACTATATTTTTATGAGAAAATTTCGACATGTTTTATACAAGCATAAACATTACTATTACAGTGAATAGACCGATCGTTGACAAACGTCTTAATACGTCAGCCATATATTTTTAAGTCATCCAAAAGCTAAACTAAAATTTGAATTAAAATATTAATTCCTTCGAAGTAAGAAAATAAAATTAATTTGTAACAAATACATACTTCTCAATTGAGACAAACATTATTATATACCTGGGGTGCCTTGCTCTCCAAGGCACTGGGTCCATAGACATGAACGTGCATCTAGTGCAATTCAGGGTTTCTCGCTAATTACGTTAAGAAAGCTCTTGACGCTCTCACGTAACCTGTGCATCAGTGACGCAGTCTTTTTGCGAATAAGAAGTGGACAAATTATCTATGGGCATGTCCAAAATCATACCCGATATACTACAGTAATATGGGAGTCCCAGCGATAACCTAAAAGGGTTATTATACTGTATACATAGGTGTTGTATGCCCGCCGCGTATATATGATCCATAAGGCATTATAATAAAGTAAAAGATATTATTAATTACAAAAGGATACTTCTCATGTTTACTCAAAAACTTAGATTATATTTCTAAACTTACCTCATCCTGGAAGGTCCGATGTAAGGATTCCTTGTTGTACCACTGATCGCCCTGTTTCAAAATGGCCGAACATTGCTTTAAGAGAGACAATCTCATTTTCTCTTTAGCGCTCTCCTCTTCCATAAACGACATCCTGTGACCACCCCTTGGTGCACCTAATAAATCTTTAGATACATCCAATTTATTGTTGTCATCATGAAGACCATTTTTTTCTTCAATTTTGCCATTTTGACAGATGTCAGTTTTCCCGCCTTCGGAATTGTCAATATTAATGGTAACGTTTTCTTTGATACCTTCCTCAAACATTGCTTTATCATCGCTTGTTTCATTTTGTGTGAAGCTTACATTTTTATTATCGGAATTAGGGATATGTCCATTTTGTTTGTCCGTTGCCATTTTGTTATCTGCTCTTTCAATTTTTTACACGATGTTTGCGTGTTAGATAATATTAAATGTTTACTTCACATGTTCTAATTATGTTATTATAAATGTTTTGAAATCTTCACGCACTTAAAAGGTTAAATCTCTTTCGAAGTTAATTCCGACCGCTGCAATTACCTAATTGGCTTAATGATTAGTAAGCAATTAATCTTCTAAACAACTTAAATTATAACTTGACTTAAAGAGAATCTAACTACGTTTTAATATGTGTTGTAAAATAATTAAAATAATAGTAAGTTGGTTCTCTACAATATTAAAAAAAATGATATTAAAGTGCTCTTGATTAGTGCTGCAAATTCTGTATTCAGTCAGTTCGTAACTATGGACTACAGAAGATTTTATAGTGCTAAAGGTGTTTTTATGAGAGTAAATTACCTATCGCCACAACTCGATAATGATTTACAAAAAATAGGGAAGTTATTGTGTGAAAACTTTGGAAACTTTTGGAAAGCGCTTAGATATTGTAATCAGCGGGAAGTTCCAGGGATGGCCTGCATAGTGAAACAATTTATTTTGTGTGTTTGAGTAAATACCTAGATAGTTTAGATTTACAGTTAAGAAATCACTAATTAAATATAATAATTGAATAACCATGTTTGACTTAATTACGTTTTGTGTAAGTTATTGGAAATTGCTGTAACTAAATTTACTCAACCAGTGATGACGTATAGATCTGAGACGTAGTTCTTCACTGCAGCAAGCTCAAGGTCGCATGTCGAGCTACGGAGAGAGCTGTACTCGAAATAGAAGAAAATGTTCTGTCTATTCCTATAAATAATTTTGTCTTTGGAGCCTCTCTTGCACTTACAAACTTATAAAACTATATAACATATGACATAATTTGTCTGGAAGGTATCGCCACGGAGTAAAGATTTTTACTCATGTGGTATCGCTTTTAGCGATAAGACCGCCTATTATACATTAACATTTTACCTAACATTTTTGTATTTTTTTCCAATAATTTGTGTTTTGGTATATGTCATAAAGACTTATCCATTTATCTACCTATGTATATGGACAAACAAAGGTCGGTTATTTTATTCTTCCCGCGGATCTCTGATATAAATTACGTACGGGCTAAGCGATACTTATAAATTAAAACGAACGTTGAAAAGACGAGTGAAAGTAGACAAAAAACTGACATTCAACAAGCACGGTCTACTTCGAAAATTCATAACAAAATCTTTTTTCTAATTCATCTCCGACATTGATGATCGTTATAAGTATTACCAAGTAAAGCTCGAGTACCGTTATTTTTGATTTTTTTTTCTGAAAAACGAGCAAACTGTCCACCTACTGGTAAGTAGATACTGTGGCTTATAGACATCTACATTTATCCTCAATTAAGAGTCAAAATATAGATGCGTTGTCACCCTTGAAGACTAAGATGGAATGCCTCGTTTCCAGTAAAAAGGGTCGCCGGATCTCTACACTCACCATACGAAACACAGCAGCATTAAGCTGCTATTTTTAGCTGGTATTCTGTGAAAGCGTCATCCTATCCTGGCCAAATCGACCCATTCGTGCTACAACTAATATAGCTGCAGCGTGGCTCTACCGTGTATAATAAGAAAGAGATCTCTTATGAGCTAAAAGTCAAAAATATTTTGTCAATATGACCAGTTTGATAAAATAATTACAACTGATGCCCAAGGACTAGTACGTTCAAAATACTAGTGTGAAATAACAGATTAATGCTTTTATTTTAGACAGGCCTGTTGGTCTAGTGGTTAGTGACCCTGACTGCTATGCCGGAAGTCGTGGGTTCGATTCCCACCCAGGACAAATGTTTATGTGATGAGCACGATCATTTGTTCTGTGTCTGGGTGTAATTTATCTATAATATTTATTTATTTAGAAATATATAAGTATGTTTATCAGTTGTCTAGTACCCATAACACCAGCTCTGCTTAGCTTGGGACTAGATGGCGTTGTGTGATAGTTGTGGAATATTATTATTATTATTATGTTTTGTAGTGTTAATCCTTTTAAATGTAATTCTTCCGTCCGTGTGTTCCTCCATCTCCTAAACGGCTGGACTAACATGATTAGAGGATCTTTTAGATTCCTTATTGGACTCGGAAGGTGGCGCTGTTGTCGAGAGCCAGTAATCAGCCATGCGATGGCGGGGCGGATCGCAAGTTATCGATATATGTAACTAATATGGTTGTAATTGATAAAATCAGGCGTTACTTTGCGGAAATTACTCTACGGCGGCCGAGCGCTAAGAACTGACTGTCTTAGCGGTCAGCCGCCTTAGAGTCAACATCACCTGAAGATGACTCGTTTAGAAGCGAAACACGTGTCTTATTAACGTCGATGGTGTGTCTTTCCTAGAATAATGGTGTTGGGAGTAGTGGCGTTGGTAGTAGTGTTGCTGGGATTGGTTGTGACGGGATTAGTGCGCGCAATTGAGGGACGGCGGGACGCGCTTTTCAAACTAGGGAAGATATATCATTGTATTTAATTTAGCAGATGATTGCAAAATAACTATTAATATCTTTATTAATATGGTTGTATCACAAATGGATCGGCTCGGCTTGGTAGGACTACGCTCTCACAGAATACCAGCGTGAAATAGCAGCTTGATGCTGCTGAGTTTCTTATGATGAACAATGAGAATTGGAGACCCTTTTAACGAGATGTTCCATCTTAGTCCTCAGCGGTAACAAATGAAACAAGATTAATGTATATGAGCCACAACAGTACGCCCCTTTGCCGCACTTACTTCTATAAAAAAAACATTCTAACGAAGTGGTCATTCCATCTTCAATCTATTTTTAAACAAGCGATATTTCCTATACGTAGAAAATAAATATAATAATTTTGGTTTGATATAATGCCGGTATAAAATGGTTATTGATTTATGTAGATGAGCTTAGATTTCATATTATAGATTTACATAACTTGTTTTAACTTTAAACACGGACTAAGTTTGACATAGTAATAAATAACAGCTGTGTACTATACGTATACTACATATACGAATGATATTGTCAAATAAGTATTCCAGCCAAATATGAGCCCCTCGACCTAGAATTCATTCATCATTATTATTAACCTATAAAATCAACTACTAAATATTACTTATAAACCATTCATAAAGGAGATATTTGCCATACTTACCACGCTTGGTAGACGCGTTAGGAACTGCAGTGTTTTTCTAGTTGTATTTAGGAAAATGCTGCTGCTAGCGTTGCCAGATGGTCGAAATTCATCTATATTCTCCCAACATTTTAAATGATCTCGAGACTCCCGACAAAACTTAAAATCTCCAAAGAAACAGCTTCCTTTCTCATCACAGCTACCTTTGATTTAATAAAAACTGAGTTAGTAATTAGACTGAATTTGAAGTAAATTGTTTGAATTTTAAATCTTTTCTGAAAACTACTTAAGGATCCAAATTGGTGGACTCAGTAAAGTCCAATGCAAAATACATGCGACAACCTAAAAGTTTAGTGTACTTAAATTCGTTATGTGTAAACAATATATTAAGTCTTTTTTGCCTATTCATTAAAAAAATATTTTACATTTTTATTTTTAATATTTATTTCTCCCGATAGCAACCCCAAAATCTGGACGTTTTAAAATATTGTCCAGATATTTTGGTTTTCCCATCTAGCATTCCAAGCTGTTGCCCACTCTGGTTTATTTCCCTCTGTCGCTCTTAATCCACCCGCAGGACGATATGGGGTAGCCACCCCTACCACCACTACACTGTAGTAATTTTAGGTTACGTAGACCCATATAATACAAATACATGTTGCATGATAATTTCATAATATTATATACTAAAGCTCAGATCTATTTTATATACACTTCAGCACGGATCATATGTGTCGACCGCGGAATTGCCTAGTATTAGAGCGGTCTAGGTCTAGTCTGTATCTTACCCCTCTTACACCCTACCCTTACCAATGACATCGTACCTTATTTCCCTCCTAACTTTTTGAAACCTGATTTATAAATTAATAATTTCAATTAACAAAATACTTTTTAAATTGTATTTTGAATATATTGACTAAATCCAATAGTAATTGACGTAGTCCAACGGATTAGTAAAGTGAAGTTGCAACAGGCCGACTGTATAGCTCGAGGAACCGACAACCCATGTAGTTAGGAAGGTTTTCGAGTGGCAGCTTCAGCCAGTCCTCCACTAGACGAAGGGACGACCCAGTAAGACACGTGGATGCCAGGCTTGGGACCGTATTTATGGCATACCTTAGGTTGGGTATATGTTCAGCAGTGGACTGATGAAGGGCTGTATGATGATAAGTCAACGTCATTGACAACAAAGTGATAACTAAACGAACCAAATTACTTTTACATCATACTAGCAACATGAACTGCTCGGCTCGAACAGGGAAAGACCAGGTTCTCACAGAATACCAGCGTAAAACAGCAGCTCAATGTTGCTGTGTTTCGTATGAAGAGTGTAGAGAACTTCACCCGTTTTGTACTAGTAACGAGTCATTGCATCTTAGTCCTCGCGGGTGACAACGCATCTGTATTTCGATTCTTAATAAATCATAGATTTAGATGTCTACGGGCCACAGCATCTGTTTACTATCCGGATGCTTGTTTGTCAGCTGTATTCAATAAAAAAATAAACTATGAACGGCAGTACATTGGAAGAAGAAGAGTGGAGTGTGTGTGAAAATCTCAATCAAGTGCTTAGAAGATTAATTGCTCGTTAAATATGAAAAATAAAAAAACTACCTAAATGCATATAAATATATATTAATAAAAGCAATAAATAACTTAATTAAGTTCTGTGAAGTCGGCTTTTAATATGAATTTAAAGTTATAATAATTTATTGTAACTACTTTTATTTATAAAAAGGATCTATTTCATTTTTTATTTTTTGTTTTTACGCTGTACCTATTAAACGAGTCCTTTCATTCCTGTCTACGTTTCATTCTAATTGCTGTACTTTTTTTTAATTTTTTATCAG